CATATTCTGGAGACACCCTCCATCTGCACGTTCTGCAATCACCCACCCGCCCCTCAAGCACCCAGGGGGGAAAAAAGTTCATGTACCGCTTTCAAATTCCTATCTCTTTTTTTAAAATTATTATTAATAGAATACGTTTGCTTGCTAAAGATTTTGCTCTTGATAAACTTACTCACCCTCTCTTTTGCTTGCTTTGCTTTTCTCTTCCCTTCCACTCTGTTGAGAGTGCTGCCTTGCTTTGCGAAGAACTCCCCACACCCTTCCATGGCGTCTTTTTGACTGGCTGGTTGACCGCCCCTCTTCTTTCAGGGGTCGCCTTGGACGCACACGGAGCGGCGATGCGAACACACACGCACACGCACACGCAGGCGGAGCTAAACGTGGCGAAAAGTCCTTAAAAAACAACAAGTAAAATTACCAAAAATAATTCATGACCGCCCCGCCCTCGCCGCCGCGCCTCAAGAAGGGTGTCGCTTCTCTCCCCCACCTCCCTCCCCGCTGCTACGCCACAGTCGCGATCCTGTCGGCGCTGTGCCCCAGTGCAAGCAGGGACGCCTTAATAGACCGTGTCTCCTCGGTGGCGCCGCAGAGAAAGATGCCCAGCGCGGGGTCGGGAAAGACGGAGGTGGCAATCTCGTCGACGTAGTCCACCCCGCCTGCCCACCGCGCGGGTGGGTGCTGCAGAACGAAGGTGCAGCGGAAGCGTCGAGGAAACGCCTTCGCCAACGCCTCCAGCCCCTCGCGATGCGGAATGGCAGACGCTCGATCTGCGAGGTAAATCAATTGGACGTTTGCCGCGTCGTTGGGCCTTTCCGTTGCGGCGCGAAGGATTTGCAGCATGGGGGCGAGCCCGCGGGAGGTGGCAATAACAACCTTATTTGATGCCTTCAGCAGCGTCGTGTAGCGGCTATCCACGGGTTCTGCGGCCGTCGCCTCCACAGCATCGCCCAGCTGCAGCGTAGAGAGCCACGAGGAGCCGTTCCCAGCGAGCCACGGATTCAGCACAATACCAATCACACCCACATCATCAGGCAACGTAAATGGGGTAAACGCCTCCACGCGTTTGTCGCCGCCACGAGCCCGCAACGCCATGCCCTGTAGGGGCGCCAGCCCGGACATTTGAAGACTGCCTGGAAGGCTAAACTGAAGCCACACAAAACCGTTCTCGTCCGCCTGGGAGCTCCGCAACGTCAGCCGAGTCCACTTGTCATGCCACAGAGAAGTGGCATTCCTGCTCACGGCGTGCGCCGCGCGATCGCCCGCAATGCGGCCAAAGACGACGCATTCCAGCAGCGAGTTACCACCGAGTCGGTTCCTGCCGTGCACCCCACCCGTCACCTCACCCGCGCCAAACAGGCCGAGAATGGGGCGACGGTGACCAAAGAAGGAAGAATCGCTTCCTTCCATCTGAATCTCGGCCGCGGGCGAGATGAGGCAGCCGCCCATCGTGTAGTGAACCGACGGCGTCACAAAGGCGACGTAGAAGGGTCCCTGCGGGCCCACCACGCACGGGTAGACGCTCTTGCGGGTCTTTGGGCATTGGCGAGAGGTCTTTGAGAGCTCCTCGTATGCCTCCAGCGTGCTCCGCACATTTTCCGCAGGACACTTGATGAGCTCTGCAAGCTCCTCCAGCGTGTTCACCTTCACAAAGAGGCCCACGCGCTTCCAATAAAAGGCGTGAGCATTGACGCCAAAAAGCTTTACCGCCGCATCGTTGAGCACGCAGAAGGCAAAGGTGCTGCCGTTGGAGCCCGGATATTCGTCACCCTGATCCATGATCGCCTTGGAGACCGCGGAGCGGAGATCGAGCTCATTGACAAACCGCTCGCCCCTCTTGTTTAGCAGCACACCGCCCGACCCGCGCAGCGCCTCCGGGCCGAGGTACTTGGTTGCACTGGCAGGGTCCTTCGGGTCGATGAGGCCTGTCGGGTGAAGCTGCACCTTGTCCATGTCCACAAGCGTCGCACCAAGGCGCCGTGCCAGCTTGACACCGTCACCCGTGGCCCATGGCCCGTTGGTTGTGGGGAAGCCAGACAGCTGCGGCGCAAACTCGCGGAGGAGGGAATCGGAGGTCTTGTCGTTTGAAAATCCGCCAGTGGTGAGAATGACGGCGTCCGCCAGGATCTTTGATTTCGCGCCGTCAGCCTGCACGATTTCC